CAAAGATCATCTAGTTCCAACACCCTTGCCAGGGACATCTTTCACTAGGCTAGGTTGCTCAAAGCCCTGTTCAGCACTTCCAGGGATAGAACATCCATAGCTTCCCTACATGCTCTTGTAAAAATTCCCTCTCCAACTTTCTTGTAGCCCCCTTTAAGTACTAGAAGGAACTATAACTACTGCTATAAGGTCTACCAGACCCTTTTCTTCTCCAAGCTGAACAACCCCAACTCTGTCAGCCTGTCTTTATAGAAGTGTTCCAGCCAGATCACTTTGGTGGCCCTACTCTGGACTTGCTCTAGCAGGTCTATGTTCTTCTTATGTTTGGGACCGCAGAGCTGGATGCAATACTCCAGGTGGAGTCTCATGAAACAGGAATAAGGGGGCAGAATCACCTCCCTTGACGTGTTGGCCACACTCCTTTTGATGCAGCCCACGATACAGTTGGCTTCCTCGGCTGTGAGTGCACATTGCCAGGTCATGTATAAATTCTCACTCACCAACACCTCCGAGTCCTTCTCTTCAGGGCTTTGCTCTCACTCCAGTCTCTGCCGTCTGTGTATGTACTTGGGATTTCCTTGAACCAGGTGTAGGACCTTGCACTTGGTCTCGCTGAACTTCATAAGGTTCACAAGGTTCGCACTGGTCCACCTCTCAGGCCTGTGAAGGTCCTTCTGTATGGCACCACTTCCCTCCAGTCTGTCGACTGCAACCCTTAGCTTGCTGTCATCAGCACACCCGCTGAGTGCATACTTGATACCACTGTTCATGCTCCTGTCAAAGATTTAAAGAAACGTTGGTCCCAATGTCAGTCCCTGAGCTGTGCCACTTGTACACTTGTCTTCACTTGTACATCGAGCCATTGACTCTTTGAGTGCAACCACCCAGCCTGCTGAAGACTGAGGAAAAAAGGCATTGAGTACCTCAGCTTTCTCTGAGGTATCCCGGGTAACCAGGTCTCTCATTTCCTTCTAGAGACAGCTCACACTTTCCCTAGTCTTCCTTTTATCACCAACATGCCAATAGAACCTTTTCATTTTGCCCTTGACATTTCCGGCCAGTTTTAATTCTATCAGGGCTTTAGCTTTCCTAACCTGATTCCTGCCTGCTTGGACAATTTCTCTGTATTCCTCTCAAGCTATCTTTCCCTGCTTCCACACTTTGTAGGCTGCCTTTTTTGTGTTTGAGTTTTTCCAGGAGCTCCTTGTTCATCCATGCAGGCCCCCCAGAATTTTTGCCTGACTCCCTCTTTTTTTGGGATGCATTGCTCCTCAGCTTGGAGGCAGTGATCCTTGAATATTAATCAGCTTTCTTGGGCTTCTCTTCCCTCTATGGTTTTATCCAATACTCTGCCAAGTGGATCCCTGAATAGGCCCAAGTCTGTTCTCCTGAAGCTGAGTATAGTGAGCTTGAGGTATGCCCTCCTCTTCGCCCTAAGGATCTTGAACTCCACCATTTCATGGTCACTACAGCCAAGGCTACCCTTGAGCTTCACATTCCACACCAGTCACTTCTTGTTGGTGAGAACAGCATAATACCTCTCCTTGTTGTCCCCTCTGCCACTTAGAAAAGAAAGTGAAATGTATCTCTATCAGTGAAATGTATCCTCTCTCACTCGCAGAAGGAAATGAAGTATATACATATATAAACTCAGGTGAATTTATTCAGATGTTGTGGTCGGGAAAGGCCAGGATGAACTCAGAGAATTCAGTCCTTCAGTAAAGATTTTCAGAAAAGTTTTAGGACTAACAACGGTTTTGATTCCTATGACAATATTATTATCATCTATTACCACTTTTGTTGCAACAGGATTTAGAAGAACCAGTCTTGCTGAAATCAGTGTGTGTGTACACACACACATACTGCTATTTATATGAAAGATACATGTATGTGACAGATGGGAATACCTTGATTTTTGCCAACTACTCGTTATTTCACAAGGGGCTCTGCTGAGTCTGTTCTTTTGATAGAGGGTATTACTTGGCACCAAAATGATGCTGTACTTACTGACCCATTCATAAAGCTCTCTTGCTCTACAGACTTTAAAATGTAAAGACCTCATATTACAGAAGGATTAAAAAAAAGAACAAAAATAATAGGATATTTTAATACGGACACACTGTGTGTGCAATTTTAGATAGTTGTGGTTTAATCCTAGACAGCTGTTCAGCTCTACACCACTGCTTGTTCACTCCCCTCCAGTACGGTGGGGGAGAGAATCAGAAGAGACACGTGAGAAAACTCTTGGGTTGAGATAAAGATGGTTTAATAGATAAAACAAAAGGCATGTACACAACCCTTAGACTATTTATGAGATCATGTAGTGATAGGAGAAGAGGCAATTGCCACGGTCTGGGGGAGAGGAGAGTGGGACCGCAACACTGCACAAAGGGTCCGAGTCGAGGCTGAAGGTCTGGTGCAATGGCGGTTCATTGAGGGTGTGCAGGGGTTTATATAAGCTCTGGCATGGAAAGGGCCAGAAAATGGGGTGGAGCATGAGAGAGACAACCAGGGGAACGAATAGGAGTAAGGACTCGGGAGAAGAGGGAGGAACTGGGGAGGAACTGACCAATGGTTGCTCTCTCCACACTGCAGTTTCTTCAGCCAATCAGAGGGAGAAGCAGGGAGAGCAGGGGACAGACAACTCGAGGCATGTCTGGACATGCCCAGGTAGTACAACTGTAGGGGTAACATACAATGCACATATTTGAAACCATGTAAGAACTGTAAAATACATATAATAAAGTCCTTTTTCAATTGTTGTATATCTTTTTCCACGCCTGGAACCGTTCCCACTCTGATTCCCGCTCCTCTACAGGTAATGGTTTCAAATTGAAAGAGAGTAGGTTTAGATCAGATGTTAGTAAGAAATTATTTCCTGTGAGGGCGGTGAGGCACTGGAACAGCATGCCCAGAGAAACTGTGAATGCCTCATCCCTGCCAGTGTTTAAGGCCAGGTTGGATGGAGCTCTGAGCAGCTTGGTCTTGTGAAGCTTGTCTCTGTACATGGCAGGGGGATTGGAACTAATTGATCTTTGTGGTCCCTTCCAAACCGGGCCATTCTATGATTCTATGGTGCCATATGGTATAGAATATCCCTTTGGCTAGTTGGAGTCAGCAGTCCCAACTGTGTCCCCTCCCAACTTCTTGTGCATTCCCAGACTCCTTGCTGGTGGGGTGGGATGAGAGACAGAAAAGGCCATAACTCTGTGCAAGCACCGTTTATCAGTAACTAAAACATCCTTGAATTATCAACACTTCTTCCAGCACAAATCTAAAACACAATCCCATACCAGCTACTATGAAGAAAATTAACTCTATCCCAGCCAAAACCAGCACACTATTCAATAGCAGTAATCACAGTAATTACAAGTCATCATCTAGTTAGCCATTATCAGAATGTGGCAGGGTTTTATGTGTTGCCATAGAAATGACTTTTCAGGATAAATTTGAAGGTCCAGAGAAAAAGGCATCTGCCCCAAGAACTGACTACTCTTCAGTATCCAATCTACATGGTATGCAGTATTGTAAGGAATGTGTATGCTGGAGACCATGATATTGTGGTCCTTAAAGAAGACTGAATATCAGAAACTCCAGATAAGCATAGGTGGAGCTTTTCATTCCTGCATATGAATTGTCATAATGCATATTCAAAAGAAGAAATGTTCTTTTCCTTGTGCTGTTGTCTGCATTTTAAAAGAAAGAAATGAAATTAAAGCTAAAGAAAAAATTACTGTGCCGCTGGAAAACTCCAGAGTTGTGAATTAAAAAAAAAAAAAAAAAAAGTGTGTTTTGTTTTCATCCACTCCAGATATCCTTACAGGTAGAAATTATTAACTATCATGTTCCTAAGTTCCATTGTCCCATAAACAAGAAATCTTGGACTTATTCCAAGTTATAGATCATCTCTTGGTTTCCGTACAATTCTATTTGCCAATCCATGAAGCCTATTTGAGTTTTGAAATGCCCTCCAGGGCTCTGCTCCCAGAGTCTGCACGCTGGAACGAGGGCAACACACGCTTAACGAATGTCTGCTGGTTGGAAAATTGATCAGCTGTATGTGGATGTGTTTATCTGTCTTTATCTTCACCATTCTAACAAGAAACAGTAACATTAAACTACTGCTTGTGGCTCTCATTACTCTTACAGTAGCTTATAGCTAAAATCTGAAAGTATAGTTGTAAATGCAATATACTATTTGTTACCTTATTTTTGTTTTTATTGTTAGTCCAGATTCTGAAGTACTTACTGTTATTAGGTCATTACTTCAGATTTCAACCAAAATTAATAAAGAATTTAGGACTTGGCATCATAAACAGCCTTATAATTACTGTAGTTTTAATGAAAGCTATTTTGCATGTCATAGTCCTTGAAAACCTGACATCATTTATGGGAATGTTATTACTATTGATTCCACTACATCGAGGATTTCACGAATGTCTTTCATTTTGATGAGTTGAAGCTTAAGCTTTAACTATTTACAGGCTTTAATAGAAGCCATAAGCTATATTTACTTAATTTGCTGCTGAAAATAGGCCATCTCAGGGGCAATAGCTACTTAATAGTATGTTATTGCAGGGAGGTGGGGTTTTTTAGCCTGGAGAAGAGGAGGATCAGGGGAGATCTCATCAGTCTCTACAACTACCTGAAAGGAGGTTGTAGCCAGGTGGGGGTTGGTCTCTTTTCCTGGGCAACTATCAGTGAGACAAGAGGGTATGGTCTTAAGCTCTGCTAGGGCAAGTTTAGGTCGGATATTAAGAAGAAATTCTTTACAGAGTGTAATCAGGCATTTGAATGGGCTGCCCAGGGAAGTGGTGGATTCTCCATCCTTGGAGGTTTTTAAGATGAGACTGGATGTGGCACTTAGTGCCATGGTCTAGTAACCACGGCGGTAGTGGATCAAGGGTTGGACTTGATGATCTCAGAGGTCCCTTCCAACATGGCTGATTCTATGATTCTATGATGCACATGAATCACAGAAGCACAGAAGCACAGAATCACAGACTGGTTGGGGTTGGAAGTGACCTCTAGAAATCACCTAGTCTAACCCTGCTGCTAAAGCAGGTTCAACAGCAGCAGGACACTGCACAAGATCACACCCAGGTGAGTTTTAAATATCTGCAGAGGAAGAGACTCCATAATCTCTCTGAGCAGTGTGTTTGAGTGCTCTGCCACTCGAATTTTTTCCTAAAATTCAGATTAAACTTCCTGTGTTTTCATTTATGCTCATTTCCCCTTGTCCTGTCACTCACTGGGCACCACTGAAAAGAGTCTGGCCCCATCCTCTTGACACCCTCCCTTAAGATCCCCTCTCAGTCATCTCTTCTCCAGGCTAAACAGGCCTGGACACAGCACTTCAAATGCAACCTCATAAGGGCTCAGTAGATGGGCGGGATCACCTCCCTTCACCTGCTGGCAGTGCTCTTCCTAATGCACCCCAGGATACCACTGAGCTTCTTGGCCACAGGGGGTGGGTTATGGTTGACTTGTTATCCACCAGGACTCCCAGATCCTCCTCTGGAGAGAATGAAGCAACATTCTTCATAAAGGAGTAAAGAATACACTGCCCATTAATATTTCAGAAAAAGAAAAAATTAATAATATCCCCCTCAACTTTCTTCAAACCATCTCTAGCATTTGTGTGACAAGATAACGGTGAATATGAAGTTCTGGTATTAAAAAGATAAGGCTGAGTACTGTTTCTACTTCATTGATTTTCATGATTGTGAGTTAGCAGTCCTGTGTATTATGGTTAGATAGCAGTTGTGTAGCAGAGTGAAGAAATTATTTAGCTAGGTATCACATAATTATTTAGTAAAAATGCTAATATACAGCTTAGATATTGTCTTCAGAATGAAATACTAAAGATCAGACATTTTACAGCTACATTACACTACAGTATATTTGAGAAAATAGCTGAGTACAAAAGTGCCCGATGACTCTAGAGGATATTAAAGGTTGTAAATGGTGGCCATGATATCACGAGATTTGATAGTCTGCATCAAAAGGAGTGCTGTGGCAATGGGAATAATTTTTATAAAAAAATTTTCTTATTAACTTCCAGAATGAAATAGAGCAAAAGTCATTGATATAAGCAATGTGTGTGTTCACATGTGTACAGATGTAGAGGAGATGTAGAGGAAGTTATATGGTTTATGGAATTGGACAGATTGTTTTCTGACCATTTGTTGACAGTGAAATATAATGAATTGCTAATTTGAGGCTGAACATATATGATAATGGAGCTAAAACTGCATTTTGAGATGTGGACAGTCTGTAAGCCCACAATTTGCAGTATTATGGGCAGACTGTAAATAGGCAGACAAAAAATTGACAAGTGTTTTTGAGAAGAAATTTGAAAAAAGGTACAGTGTGACTATTTGAAAGTCAAACAATGGTAAACAGGTCCAAATGACTGGCAGTATTAAAATTAAGGACAAGGAATCATAAAAGCTGTAAGGGAACGAGACTTGATACTGGCATTTTTGCAATGGTTCCATTTAAGCAGTATTTAAAATCTGGAAACATATAATAACAGAAGGTGGTTTCTGTCTTAAATATAATCAAAATAATACATGTATTCAATGTGTATCAAATTTTGTAATCATGTTGTTCAATGCTGGAGTTTTAATTGCAGTGTGTCACTGTATAGCACAGTGTATTTAAAAAAATCCCTCTATTAAGCTCCCAATAGCACAGAAATCCGTCATATGGTAACAATGGCCTCTTATTCAATGAATAGGAGATTCCCTACAAAAAGCTGACTTGTTTATGCTACTGATCAGAACAGTGGTTTTCAAATTCTTTCTGTGTTTGGTATAATTTTTCCAGTGTAAGAGTACACGCCTTTAGAAATTTTCTGTCCACGCATTGATTACTCTATAATATGATAAACTTTCTGTTATAAAATACTTTTTTGCACCTCTGCATGACATAGTCTACATGGTATCTAGATTTATATAATTATTTTTTTTTGTAAAATGAATGATATACACCATTTCACAGCTGTATTATTTCCAGGGACAGAAGTAAGAAAGTGAGAAATCTCAGCGTTACTGCCTATCTCTTTTCCTTTCCCTGCATTTAATTTATGGGTCTGAAGTTATAGACTCAAAGTCTTACCCACTCTTTTGGACCTGTTTACTGTTTATTAACCTGTTCTAGAAGTCAGATAAGTAAGAAAGGCTGCATTTATACACATCCAAGGCCAAGATGTAGGGAACTTGCTCAAGCAGATGATAGATTTTTCATAGCTAGGGTGGAATCTAAATGTGAAATAGTTGTACATGTGTATAATTTCAGACACAATGCCATAAATATGTATTAAATGTGCCTTTATGGTCCTGCAGATGAGAAAATAACAACTGACTATGCATATTTGTGAGTGCAAATAACAAGTTTGCACACTCTTTTATGGTACAGAGACCTGCTGTGAAACATTAAAGCATTCAGGAAATTTGGTATTTAAAATCATCTACTAAATATTTTATTTTATTGTAACTTAAGTTTCTTAAGAAGAATCATAGACTTGGCAGTAAGCACAAAGCTGTGTGTGCATTACAGGATTTTTATAATGCAAGTCTCACCTATGTAAACAAACAATGCATAAGAAACAATATCATCTGTTTATAATTTGTTTTGGAAATAAAACAATACACAGTCATATGGTAGCTAAAAGGACATGCAAAGACATCAAATAAGTAGCTTTTTTTTTTGCCATCATAGAAGAATTTTTAGATTTCAGAAATCCTCTTAAAATGCTATGAACAGAGCACTCATGGAAAGGAGAAAAATGTGTTAAAAATATAATTTAATGCATCTAGCAATCTTCTGGATAGGTGGTAATGGAACCCATCTCAGATGGGCTTCAGCACTCTGGAGTCTGGGTTGAAAAGCTCAGAGATGTCACCTTAGTCTGAAACAGCTTGGATGGCAATTTACTTATATAAAATAAAACTTAGGGATGGGAGAAAAACCTTGGCACTCAAAAGCAAGGAGGTCAGTCTCAAGGACCTGAAGTTGCTACAGTCTCCAAGTGCATCTGTTTTGTGTAATGGAGGAACCATCTGACAGTCTTATTAATTGTTGACTTCTGGCTATAAATAGTAGGTGGATCTTGATTAACCATAGAATGTTTCAGGTTGGAAGGGAGGTTTAAAGGTCATCTAGTCTAACCCCTTGCAATAAGCAGGGATATCTTCGACTAGATTGGGTTGCACAGAATGCTGCTGTGTAAAAAATTTCTTCATTATATACAGCCTAAATCTATCCTCTTTTAACTTAAAATCATTACCCCCTGTCCTGTTAAAACAGGCCCTGGTAAAAAGTCTGTTCCTATCTCTTTTGTAAGCCCCCTGTAAGTACTGAAAGGCCTCAATAAGGTCTCCCCAGAGTCTTCTCTTCTCCAAGTTAAACAACCCCAACTCTCTCAGCTTGTCTTCATAGGAGAGGTGCTACCTTCTTCTAATCATCTTAGTGGCCCTTGTCTGGACTTGCTCTAATGTTGTCTGATGTTCTTGTGCTGGAGATGCCAGAGCTGGATGCACTACTCCAGGTGGACTCTCATAAGGACAGAGTAGAGGGGCAGAATCACCTCCCTCAACCTGCTAGTCACACTCCTTTTGACTCAGGATATGATTGGCTTTCTGGACTGCAAGTGTACATTGCTAGCTTATGTTCAGCCTCTCATTCATCAGAATCCCCAAGCCCTTCTCAGCAAGGCTACTCTCAATCCCTTCTTCCTCAGCCTGCATTGAGGCAGCACCTTTTACTTGGTCTTGTTGAACCTCATGAGTTTTACATGGGCCCACTTTTCAAGTTAGTCCAGGACGACATCCTGTCCTTCAGGTATGTCAATTGCACAGCACAGGCTGATGTCATCAGGAAACTTGCCGAGGGTGCACTCTATCTCACTGTTTATGCACCTGATGAAAAAATTTAACAGTACTAGTCCCAGAACAGACCCCCGAGGGCCACAACTCATCACTGATCTCCATCAGGAGACATTGAGCCGTTAACCACTACCTTCTGGATTCAACCATTCAACCAATTCTTCGTCCACCAAACGATTTATTCATCAAATCCCTGACTCTCCAATTTAGAGATGAGGATGTTGCAGAGGACCCTATTAAAGTCCTTACAGAAGTCCTGACAGATGACATGGATAGCTCTTCCCTTGTGCACTGATGTAGTCACTCTATTGTAGAAGGCCATTAGATTGGTCAGTCAGGCTTGCCCTGGATGAAGCCATGCTGCTTGTCTCAAATATATTATACTATAAAAAGACAGACATCTTTTGTTGTCAATGAAATAAATTACTATAAAATATAGCCAGCATAATTCCTAAATCTTCATCTTCTCCTAAACAAGATCAGGAACCCCATATACAAGAAAAGTCCAGACACTGCATATTGCAATTGACATTTTTCTGCCTTAAGGGGTAGGCAAAACAATGAGAGAAAGGTTGTATTGATTTCTCTGTTTTATAGATGGGTATTTGGAAAAAAAAGTTTTTGAAATTATTATAGTGATAATTGAGAAAAAATATTTCTATAAAACCTGTTTTTATAAATTTGAACTTGTTTCTTAACAACTTCTGTTCAAGCATAAGTATCTTGACCCCTTTACCTGTATTTTCTGGCTAAGAAATCCATTTAGCTTGATCTAGTCTTCAAGCAGTGTTGATGATCACAGGTACAAATTGACTATGAGCTTAAATTATGATTTAAGTCAGCAATATATATGCTGCTTCAAGTTCTGTAATGATGGAAGAGCCAATACCAGCATAAGCAGCTGCTCAGTTCCTGGCTCTGCCAATACAGCTCAGAGCACCTTGCTCCACAGGTTGTCACCTCACAGGCCAAGAGTTACCAGGGAGAATCTGCAACACAAATTAGCTGAATGGAGGTTTCTCTACCGTTGCCAATAGGAATATTGGGAATCACACTGGAAAAGGTCTATGAGACTGGGTGTACACATTCACAGAAAGCTACTTCTCAGCTAGGCTCCAATGGAAAGAAATGTGCTTATCTGTAGCAAATATTATAGCATTCTAAAGAAAACAGCAAAAATTTATTAGATCAATTTTATACTAAAATATTTTGGTTTCTTTTTTTACTCCATAGCCTATAAAGGTAGTAATGAATACATCAGACTAAGCTGACGTGAGTTTCACACTGGACCCCCACTACCTCTCATTTTTCTCCAGGGTCAAACTTAGCAGTTAAACCTAATACACAAAACATGCATATTTTTAGATTCATAACCTACATGGTTGCATGCTATTTTTCTTACTGACTTGCTCTGGATTGCATGGGAAGACATTATAGTACTGCAGCAGTCAATCTGTGCTCCCAGTTCATCAAAATCTTAACCAGTGCAATGCACATGGCCAGTGTTTTTCTCTATTGACATCAAAGGAAATTGCATTAAGCCCATATTATGTACAGTTTAATGAACTTTGTATAATGCTAGAAAGGCAGAAGTGACATGTCTTTGAACATAATTTATATTTCATAAATGTATTCATGTTTGGAGGCTCAGCTTGAGCAATTTGCAGCTAACCAGCTCTAACATTTCTGCCAAGAAAATGATCAAAACAATAAAATTGGCATCGTTACAGGGATTTGGATTATATGGGATTAATGATGTAGAGGGAAATTTACTGCTTTGTAGGGAGGTCAGAAGCATTGAAGCCCATACACTACCTATGTCCAGCTTTAGCTACTGCCTTTTTGCAGCCCTTTTCCTAGCAGGCAGCAGAACTTAAGTTTTATCCTGAAACCTAATGTTAGGTTCAAAAATTCCCATGATTTCTGTAAGAGATTTTAAAGCATTTTAAAACATATAGGACCAGAATGACATTACTATTAAGTTAAGGTTGACTACATGCCCTTTGCAATCTGGGTTCAAAGTCCCCTTTAGCCTTTCATAGGGTGTTTTGTTTTGAGTAGGTATGTTTTTGGTTTAGGGTTTTTGTTTTTTTTTTTTTTTATTTTATTTGGGACTTTTTTGTTTGGTTGGGTTTTTTGTTTGTTTGTTTGCTTGTTTTTTCTGGTATGTGGTTTGTTGTTTTTTCATCTTTCTAAATAAAACTCTAGTATAAGAGAGTTCTGCGATCTGCTCTGTATGGGATTTTTAAATATTTTCCTAGATATATGGATTGGGTTTGTGTGGCAAGGTGTTGGTGGGGGAGGGGAGGCTAAGGTTGTTGCTTTGGTGAGAAGTTTCTGGAAGCTTCCCCCTGTCTTATAGAGCCCATGCCAACCATTTCCAAGACAGACCCACTGCTGGCCAAGGCGAGCCCATCAGTGACAGTGGTAGCACCTCTGGGATATAACATATTTAATAAGAGGGAAAAAGACTGCACAACTGCCACTGAAAAAAGGAGTGAGAATATGTGAGAGAAACCATTCTGCAGACACCAATACCAGTGGAGGAAGGGGAGGAGGTGCTCCAGGCACTGGAGCAGAGATTCCCCTGCAGCCTGGGGTGAAGATTATGATTAGGCAAGTTGTCTCCTTGTAGCCCATAGAGGTCCATGATGGAGCAGATATCCACCTGCAGCCTGCGGAGGACCACATACTGGAACAGGTGGATGTAGCCCAGTGGGAAGCCTGTGCTGGAGCAGGCTCCTGGCAGGACCTGTGGCCCCATGCAGAGGGGTTTGCTGCAGGAGGAGCCCATGCTGCAGGTTTACTGGCAGGATTTGTCACCCTGTGGGAGACTCACACTGGGCAGTTAATGAACTGCAGCCTGTGGGAAAGACTCACAAAGGATAAGTTCGTGGAGGACTCCCTCCCATGGGAGGGACCCCAAGATGGAGCAGGGGAAGAGTATGAGGAATCCTCCCCCTGAGAACAAAGGAGCAGCAGAGATGATGTGTGATGAACTGACCACAATCCCCTTTCCCCATCCCTTTGAGCTGCTGGGGAAAAAGAGGTAGAGAAATTGGTAATGAAGCTGAGCCTGAGAGGGAGGGAGGGGGGTGAAGGAAAGGTTGGCTTTTTTCAATATTTTTTTTCTCATTATCTTGCTCTGATTTGATTGGTAATAAATTAAACTGATTTCCCCAAGTCGAGTCTGTTTTGTCCATGGCACTAATCAATGAGTGATCTCTCCCCATTCTTATCCTATGAGCCTCTTACATTTTTTTCCTCATCTGTCAAGTTGAGGAGGGGACTGATAAAATAGCTTTGGTGGCCACCTGGCAAACAGACAGGGGCAGCTCACCATATCATACCATTTCTATAGTGGTATGATATAATCATACCATTTTATAGGTGATCCATAAAGGCCTGCACATTTCCACATCAGTTGAACTGTGTTGCCTTTTGGGAAGTTTGAAAAGAGGAATATTTCACTGAGGCAGAGGTTTGCTTAATAAATGGAATCGCAGAATGGTTACTGTGCAGTAAGAAAAAACCTAACAAAAATCCCAACCCCCCCCCCAAAAAAAAAAAAACAAACCACCAAAAAACCAACCCCAAAACCAAAACACAACAAGAACATTACTAGCTGCATATCTGAGAGCTAGGTCACACTAAACCAAATTACAGGCTTCCCTGTTACTGATTAACTTATCAAGTAGAAATGTGAATACTTCAGTGAGGTTATTTCCTAAAAGTCTTGCTTTCAGCAAGGAAAGGGCTAACTCCATAAGTTTGTCTGTGTACGTGGGTGGGAATTTTTAAAGTAGGTTGCATGCCTACATTACAAACCAGGGTGTGCCCACAGGGAAAGACTGCTATCTAGGGCAGCACCTGGCTGATCTGAGCTGGATCATCATGAAGAGCAGTGCTCCAGGGGTATAAACACTGATAGCACACTGATGTGAGAGGGATCTTCTACATAGGAAGTAATTTCAAGAAAAAGTTGTAGAAACTAAAAGGGGAAGGGAACAGATAATAATAATAAATAAAATTTTAAAAAGCTTACTTTTTAGTGTTATATAAAGTTTGTATTTCCTATAAGAGAAATTGCTAAGGAAGGGTTACTAGTTTTAAGGATTCCTTTGAAAGCTCTCCAGGTGAGATGTTTTGTTAAGGAACATCTTAATGGGAACCTCTGGGAGTAGTTACCATGTCTTTTTTCTCTCAAAGTACCCGACATTGGGTATTAATAGTGTTCTGGCAGTACATTTGCTAAACATACCCCTAGAATACACTTTTATGTTTAGGCACAAACATGTGAAAAAACCACTTATAATATTTCTCTCTGCAGAGCAGAATTATTAAAAAAGAAATCCTATTATAGAAAGAGAAGTATATGATGTTGCTGTAAGTCATGAGTAAATATAAGGAAAATAGAACATTTTGTTGTTATGTTATACATAATATTCTCTCCTTCTTTCATTTCCTGGTCCTCCCTTATGAAGAAAAACGAAGTGAAAACATTGAAAGAAGGAGATATTGTCAGTGGAAACGCTGCTGTCACCACTGTCAGTTGCTAACACAGGAGAAAGAACTAATCACAAATCTACAGCCAGTAGGGAGAAAGAATTGTAAGGTATATAGCAAATTATTTCCTCTATCTAGATAATAATTTACTAGCTTTAAACTTCTTGAAATATGAATGTCAAAGCCATACAGTCTGAAATTATGTTGGATATCTGTACTCCAGTAGCCCAGCCTCTAAATTATGTGTTAAGAACATAGTAGTTATTGCACTAGGGACTTTTCCCTTTAGCATCCCCTTATTCTATTCCATGCTTCAATGTTTGTCAAGAAAACACTTAAAAAAGATTACTATTTTCTTCCAAGCTGACATTTGTATTGCACAGGCAAGAAGACTGTCTTTCTAATAAAGATTTTGCAGATGATTGCAGGCTATCAGGTGCTAGTGGATCATATTCCTGTAAAGTTTCTTGAATATGCTTATCTTGGGAACATAATTTAAAATGGTATCTTTTCCGTCTTTTATAAGTATGGCTCTGAAAAGCAAGTAAGTAGGCTTGTTGTTGTCGATGCAGATTTTACCTTGATAGTCTAACAGTTGCCCATTCAATTTTTGCCCCCCTTTCTGTTTACCAATGCTACCATCCTGCAAAACTATGATTTAACAAGATAATTGCTTGAGATTTGCTCTAAAGTAGGTACTTTTACAACTGTGTCAATGAACAATTCCTCTATACCCAACAGACATTGTAACTGCTAGAAAGTATTCCCGTAAATTTAGAGATACTATCTTTGTGAACGAATATCAAACACACATATCTTATCATATTAATACAAACTCCCAAACTTAAAGGGAGAAACTGAATAACCAGTCTTTGATTCTGCTTCCTCTTCTTACTACTAAATACTTTTCCTCTATACCAGGTTAAATTTCAGGGGGGAAAAAGCTGTTTCTTTCCTACTGGTATTGCAAAAAGTGATTTTTTTTTAACTCTCAGGAATTTCTCTAAACACCTATTGATTTGTTCAATATCTTTGGCTATGGAAAAAAAAATAATATAGCAAATAAAAAAAGATTCCACGAAGCATAACCCTTGGAGTTTCAACAATATCAATATTTCAACATGGAGGTCTTTTGAGTGGGCATGGAAGGATTCTCTTTTTGAAGGGTGTTTAAAAGTACTCCTTCTGTTATAACATCTTTGTTTTATGAAAATCAAATACTAGACTATTAGATGTAAAAGTAATTTTTTAAAAAATATTTGGATATTAGAGTGCACAGAAATCTGCTAACGTATAATTTATACTTTTAAAGTAATACAAAATACATAAATTTGGGAGTAGAAAATCAACAGATACTGTTCATTTTAAATGAGCATTTGATTTTTATGCATTATGACTGTAACTATTGAAACTATCTAAGTTTGAGGCTAGATTGTTAGCTGGATTATATCTGTTACAAGACCATAAAGAAGAGAATTGCTCCTGTAAACTGCTGTAAAAATAACATATGATTTTCAAGCAGGTATATATGAACAGACTACACCTTGGTGCTTCTTACAGATGACACCAGGGATAGTGAGGCTCTTAATTTTAGGCTTCTCTCCTTCACTTCTCTAGCTAATACAGTTGAGAAAGTGTGAAGACAACAACAACACATAAAACAAGTAAATTGCTCTTTTCTTTCACTAGGTATAAGAAGGAGCTGAAGGAAAGGGATTTGTGTTACTTGAGCTTTCTTAGCTGCTATAGTTTTCATACATACTACTCATTGATTTTGGTCTCTACCTCAAAGTCAGAATTTGACCCTCAGTGAGCTGCTGAGTGGAGTTAATTAATTCAAATGGTGCTGCAGACATTCAGTGTCAGGCCTACTATATGCAGCTGAAACTGGTGTTGGTAGTTCATTCATGCATAAAATTTAACCACAGTTCCTCATCTCAGCTTATGCCTCAGGGTCCTAACAGTTTCTGATGCAGAAGTCTTCCTTTAAACAAGGGCGTATGGTTTTACACTGATTGTGATAAGTACAGCAAAGATTTTACCATTAAGGCAAGCTGAAACTTTTAGAACATGTTGCTGAACTCTATTCAGCTATTTTTCTTCTCCTTTTAACCATGTTGTTGCCAAACCAGGCCTAGGAACTCCATGACAGCCCAAATACTGTTCATCTATGCATTTGCATTTCACCTGACAGTCATTAAACCCCAAACCTAATTTCTCCTCTCTGTGTAGATAGATGATTTGTGCTGGCCAGGTTTGCAAAAGTCTCACTTTTGCTTACATAAAGCTTTCATGATTTCATGAAAGAATGTTGTATTGAGAGTCCTAGCCTCCAGTTAAGATGAGCTGCTATCCCTATTGCAGCTTTCAGAAGAGCTGTTCCCAGAGCCATTCTATTTTAAACTTAATTAGATGCTTTTAAAAAAAGAAGCAAGAAAACTGACAATTGGGAGACTGGCAGGTGTAGTGTGGCTTAGTGTCAGGAGGCAACAAAAATTTCTGTGTTAAAGATGGAATTTCAGTCTTTAATGACATTACTGCAGAGAATGAGTCAAGCAGCATTTTACCTTATAATTGCTCTGACTTCGTCTTTTAAAATAATTGTAATAGAGAGTAAAATAATAAAAAGACATAGAAATGTATAAAATATAATAAAAAAATAGTGAAATTTTATAACCTTCCTCAAACTGTTGCTACTCATAGAAGTGTCCTGACAGAAATATTATCCATCTTGGATCTGCTGTTCTTTTGTACAAAGACAGTTCTGCAGAGGGGTTTAAATCTCAAGTGTCACATTTGTAAGAACTGGGTCGTACCAATTTTAATCTGTGAACATGAAGTTAGAAGGAGTAATGGTAACTTGACCTTGGCGAATATCTACCGAGAGTAGGGCCATAATTTACAAATGCACCTGACAATTCTGATTATCCAACATGAGAAACCTTAAAGAATATGTTGTTCAGAATTAAAAGAATATTCAGAAAGTGAAAGATAACCTAATGCCTTGTCCCCAACTAAACATGCACAGATAACTAAAACATAGAGGTCACTTTTGAAAATCATGCCAGGGAACTTTTGGTTTTAGGGTTAGAATCAACAGCAAGGCAGGCCAGTTTGTGCCATACTTTCAGATTAACTGTATTTAATGTGGGTATAATGGTATAATCTTGTTGTCAGTAGTCAACTAAGTTGCACAGTTTATTGAAAAATTGTAAAAATATCAAGATGTGGCCAGATAACAGTTGTTGGGCACTCCAAGGTGTTTATAGGAACAAAATGCAAGCTCAGTAACATGTTTAATCTGTCAGTTACCACTTAAGACAGTAATAAGCTGTCACACAGGTTCTTTCTGGTCAAGTCTCAGTAAAAACTATCTGTGACAATGGAAGGAATGGAGAATTCACTTTCTGCCTGAATATGAAAATAATGTTATAGATGTACAGACCCTAAAAGAATGTCCTGAGTTATTAACTTAGGAGATGCTAATGTGGCCATCCACATTCTGCCCTCTTTTATTCTCATGTTCATAATTTCTTCTCTCTCATTTTCCTTCCTTCTTGTGTACTTGTTCCTCTCATTTCTAGAGGCAAGAAAATTAACTTCTATTTTCCCTTGCTTTTTTGTAACCTCTTGTTTTGCCATGAAGTTAAGTTTGGCATGTCTTAGATGTTCAGAATAGATTAATCAGAATTTGTCAGACTTTTGCTCCCACATGCAGAGGAACCAGAATGACTTTAGAAAACATAATGCAGATAATATCTGCCTGGAGAAAAAGGTTGTTGTAGTGTAATTCTGCTTTGTTTTGGCTTGAGTTTATGGCAGAAAAAGTAAGCTGTCATGGTAAGACATCTATTTCTGATTCATGTTTATGTGAGGAAGTAATGTAATATTTGCAGAGTTCACCTAGTTTATCTAGTTCATTTAGGTAATCTCAGTCTGCTTTAATAGCAACATCTACACTTAGGTCTTTTGTTTCATTTGGGAACAAGGCCCTGCTTTCTTAGTCTCTTTTTAAAACCTATAGTATCTTTCATAGGATTCAACTCTACTAATTTTTCTGCAAACACTTGCTTTCTTTCTAGCCTCTACTGTTCCTTCTCAGTTTGTCAATATATGTCCCTGAACCTTAATTTTCTAACCAAATCTGTGTATTGATGACCTACTTTTTACAGTAGACTGTCCTATCAATATACCTCGGTTACAACAAGAACATTTTTGGCATTTCTGTTTTCTGTCAACTCAGGGTTCCAAGTTGCTCTTGAATACTGTTTATTTCTAACCTTATGTGGTTTTAAACAAAGGAAACTCCTATATTGTGTTAAAAATTAGTATTCAGCAAAAGTTAGGCTTCAAAGTTCTAATTTTCAAATATTCAGATTAAATAAGGATCATACTGTGATATGTTAAAAGGTATCAGAAATTACTAAGAAGGATTCTTGGGTTTTATTATGAAAATTTACAAAATTTTATTATGAAATTTCTTTTTACAAAGAATTTTTTGGTGTCTTATCTACAGCAGAGAATACATTCACCTACTAGAACTGTTATTAGCCACTTATATGCTTCCTTGTCTGAGAAATTATTAGGTTGTCTCATTGGTTCATTTAATGGTCACAATTTTGTGTTTTGAATGCTGAACCATACTACTAGAGGGTCTGAAAAATAGTTACTTTGTTTTTACACTCAGAACAATACAGACTTCAATCTACTAATAAGTAATTTCTCCATCCAAGTCAAAAGGTAAGTGACAATGTGAAATGAAGAGTGAATAACAGGTAGAAAGACCACATTAGAAAAGTTATGCTCAGAACCTTTACTGCTGAAAAAAGAAAATTTAAGTCACTCAAAGGAAGAAATAAATTTAGGAATGATTGCTATTAATCTATAATGTGAAGTTTATAACTTAGATTTCTTACTGAGACGATGGAAAAAAATCTGGATTATTCAGAAAGTCAGAGTGTGAGAAATGAATAAAAAAATAATTCAGTGAAAAACATGCAGAACAGTTTTGCAAAAGCTGTGTTAGATCTAAACAGAACTTAACTACTAAATTGTATGGCTGTAGACCCAGGGATATTGTCTATGAAGAACCATTCTGTTGACTATCAAACCACTTTCATTGTCTCTCCATGAATAGTATGCAATGGAATCTTTTGCTTTGAAAGGTCTATTTTTGTCTCCTTTGGGTTCCCTCTTCTTCTCTCCTCTTTCTTCTTCTTCTTCTCCTCTGCCTCCTTATTCTTTTTTTTTTCTTTTTCCCCTCTAATATTGCTCTGTGTTTATGTGAAAGAAAGGAAGTTGAAAGAAACGTGCCCTTCATTCAAAACAATGGAGATTCTCAGTTTGTACAAGAATTTTTATCACACTGTGAAGAACTTTGTTTCCTGCACAGATGAGCTTTGTTCCAGTTAAGAATGTTGTCACCATGACAGAAAAAGGACAATCACCAAGAGGTTATTTCATTCTAGTTCATAAATTGCATGTCATTTGCTTTATTTATTTTAGAATTCTTTATTATCCCTTCACTGTTTGGTTGGTAAGAACCCCATTTTAACCTGCTTAAAATTTCCTTGGTTAGCACACAGAGGCAGGCCCCATGTTATGATGGTATAAGGAGGCATTCAACTGCACTGCTGGGGAGATAGAGCTGCAGCCATTATGCTTCCTGTACCTGCAGATTTTAAAGGGCATATTAAAACAACCAGACAAAGATGTTCTTTCCAACATCTCTCATAGAACAATTCTGCACACTGGGAGAATGCAATGAGAATGGACTTCAAAAAATGGCTAGACTGTCATACTTTTCCTAAAGAGCATCTCCTGGGTTGGATGAAGCTGGGCTAACCTCAACAAGAATGTCCTAGGATCACTTCAAAGCATTAGATGAAAATGAGCGGGACTCTGAATAAGGACTGACAGTAAAGACATGTTTTTTAAAAAAGTGTAATGCTTTTTGGATGAAGATGTGTAGAATACCTCTATTTCCCATAAAATCAATAGAGTCTATTATTTATAAACTGTTCTTGAGGTGTATGTATACCTTTGAAGAACTTCAGAAAATGGACTTTTCCTTTCCTCATTGAAGTTGCTCTGGAGATTCTTGCACAATTGTTAACAACGTCTGCTGCTAACTTCTTGTCTCAATAGTCATCAACAGCAACTTCATAATTTTTTAACAGGTTCTCACTGAACTGAAAACTATTATCAGATCAACATGTGTAGAAAACTGCAATTAAAGGAGAAAAAAATTCCTTGTAGGTCATTGATCCTAGTGTAACCCATACTGTTATTAACCAGAAACTATACAACCTATAATCTCTTTGGTGAATAACGCAAACTTAACTGATGATTTTAATTTACTTCATAAGAGACAAGCTAAACATCCCATGACAATCATCTAGGTAGAAAACTAATAGAACTGGATTAATATATGCTTTACAATGCAACTCTCTTAAAAGTAAAACTAAGGTACTATTTAAACAACAAGAAAAACCTTATTCCTCTTCCAGTGTTATGGATTCTTTGTGCCTGTTTCTACTTACGATAGTGCCAATTTGTTCTCTGTTATGAATGCTAATATGGCTTAAAGACAAAGGAAAAAAAACATTTAGGGATTCTTGAGATACACTGAAAGTAAGTATATTGTGGGGGTTGGAAAATGTTTTACGAAATAATGTCAGGTAAGACACTGAGTCTTTCATATTCATTTGGGATATTCCATTGTAGGTCAGGTACGCTGAATTAGTCTTTTCTTTCCACTACTAAAATTAGTAACCTACTCCAGAAACATACATAGAATTGAAAAAAAGAGGTCAAAAGTAGCACAGCATACATCAAAGGGTTTTGGAATGATAACATGACTGTTAATCAACCCCTGGTTATTTACTAACAGCAGGAGATCTGAACCAGCCATTTAGCAGGTTAGGAGGTAATCATGCGCAGATAATTGCTGCTCCTAGAACACCACTTTTTAAAGATGTAGATTTCTACCTTATCAGTGTGCCCTGCTTCAGATGCTTAAAGTCTGAGTTGCAGGAGACTGGCTGTTGTAACTTAGAGAGTCTTCAGGAGTTAACAGCAAATCACCAAAACAAAAGAAAAAATAAAGTCCTTAAAAGCCAAATACATCAATAGCAAATCAACAGATAATCCAATCTTGAGATATAGAAAAAGTCCTAAAACTCAAAATGTGTGTTCCAATTACATGCTGCCTGCAGGTGCTAAACAAGAGATGAGAACAATAAACACATCAAACCATTGGAACATCTAGCAAATCCTATGTCACTTCTACAAATACTACTACTAAAAAAAAATCATGTCTCAGAACTGAACTCCTAAGACAGCTGATAGGAGAAAGCAAAGAAATAAAACTCACATTTCAGTTCCTCTCTAATCAAGTCAGAAAGTTCAAAAATTATCTAACTTCCTCCTGCTTTTACAATGCTAAGCTACTTAATGCACATGGTATCCATAAGTTGTATGATCTTTAAAATTTTCACTGGCATAAAATAGGATATATTGCATGACAACAAAAACATAGCTAAATGAATATGTTTCTTGATTAAAAAAAAAAAAAAGTAACAACGGCAACAAAACCTGAATTACAAATGCTTTTTCTATGCAGACATTTATGTAGATAGCCAGCTCATCTTTATATACGAGTCAACCACCTTGTCAGTGCATGAGACTGAGTTTTCAACTACTCTTGAAAAGGGGAAAAGAGACACTTTTAGAGATCAAGCATAACCAATTGCAATTTGTTTCCATCATTTCCATGGGTATGAGTTCTGTGTGTATGGTTCTGTGAGACCTTTTCTGTAGAGGAGCTGAGCTGACAGAAATAAAATGAAATAAAAGCCACATAAGAATTATTTGGAGAATTTGAAGTATAGGAGGCCTTGAAAAGAACTGTAAAAATGTTTTACAAGAAATATAAAACTATCAAAAGAGTTTCCTTTCACTGATACTATTATTATTCTTTTCTTTTTAAGATGCAAGGTTTAGATATCATCTACATACTGCAGAGAAAATAATTTACTCTGAAAAAAATTTTAAAAAATACATCACAGAATTGGATTGTACTAAATGACAAAGTTTAATTTTTCAGCACGATAAACCTATATTAATGAACTGAATCAATACTCATCAATTCTCGCTACTCAAGGGACAAGCTTGGCAAGATAGAAGCTTGGTCTGTTTATAAAAATATGAGAGAGAGAGAGAGAGTAGTTTTAAAGGACATTCTTCTCACTGCTGTTAATTATGACTATTTGGTTTGGATTTTTATTTTTTGAGTGTGTGGTTTTTAGTTGTTTGTGTTTTTCCCCTGAGAAAAATGACAAACTTACTGAGCAATATTGACTACTAATTTTTAATTCCAAAATTAAAATATACTGTCCTTGTGAGAAATATATCAGCTAACAACTGAAAGCTTGGAGATGAAAACTCAGTTTAGATCTTTCACATCTTGTGGTGAAATTAGTGGAAATAAACATTTTAAAGTGTACACAAAAAACCAGTAGAAAACACAGTTTTCCTTTTAAAGTTAGTTTAAACAAAATTTTTTACCTAATCCTAGTTGTCTTTTATAAATTCCACACAACACTGAATGTTAGCTTGGTTTTTTAATGCATTCTATCAGACAACATCTTTGAATGTGCATTCTCTTAAATATATTTTCTCTTTCAAACTTGTGATTTCAAATCAGTCATATATTGCCTTGTTTTGTAGGGTTCTTCTGTATGATTTACTGTGATCTTGCACAGAGTGAGAAAGCATTTCCATTCTGATTATTTTTGTCTGAATTAAATGTTTGGCCTCTGCAAACACTCATGACTTTTAACTTCATTTTCTATGAGTGTTGGTTCCAATAAAATCTCGTCGTTCGAATGAACATGGAAAGCAAATAACAAAGAACAGACATTTTGGCCAAAGCAAGTCCATTAAATAATGCAAATAAATATTTGTCTATTTTTTGTTTTATTCTCTGTGCTTTAGTGTCAATACTACATTATGTGGAAACTTCATCTTGCTTTCAGAGACATTCATAGCTGTTCAATTGAATTTACCTGTCTGAGAAGTGATATCAGAGGAAAAAGAATAGGGAATCAGTCTCTTCACACTGAAAAAATCTTCAAAAACCAGGTAAATATGATTATGCTTGTGATAACAAAAAGGAATTTGAAATAAAAAAGGTATAATTAGAGGTGAATGAATCTGCTACACTGGTATCCACCAAGTATCCACCATGATCTCTGTGCTAATCTGCAAACCTATAGAATGGGATTCTTTTCAGAGCTCTGATTCTACACCAGTAAGTCATGTTTCAGAAACAGGGATTAAGATGCAACCTTAAAAGCTTTTCAGTGGAGATAGTTAATCATGCACAGACTGGGATTTTGCAGCTCTTCACATATGTCCAGGGTTTGGCTCATACAGGAGCTTGCTCCACATAGGTCTGATGGAGCACACTCCAGCTCCACCTCTGCCTCTGCACACAGATTTCTTTTTAGTGTGTGCTGAATGCCTGTTGTACATCTAATTCCATCATGTCGGCAAAATGAAGCTAGATTGTGTTCCGACCAGAGATATGGAAAATGCTCAAGTCCCACAACAATAAAGTAGCGATGGAGGATCACACACTTCTTCAGTACTTCACTGTAAAAATACAGCTCAAAATGTTCAGGTTGTGTTTCTTGTATTGTAAGACTGTGGAAGAATGGGTCCTGTACCTAAATAATAATAATGATAATGATCATGATAATAATGATGATGATGATGATAATAATAATAATAATAATAAACAAAACCAACAATAAAATATAAGGGTCAATTACTACTACATTGAAGTCAAAGAAAAATCTCTTATTCTTGTGTTTTGCTTGTGTTTCCAATTTAGATCAGCATCAGTGTCTTAATTATGCTTGTAGTAGAGCATGCCTGGCACTGAGAATTTCATTTTTTCATTAAGAACAAAAGTAAATTGTTGAGCCTGCATTACTCTGCAGTGTTGTTATCAGAATGACTTGCCTTTTCTTGACATTACTCCACAATTGAGATTGTAATTTGGTTTTTGACTGAATGTTTTGCACATTGAATTTCACTTTAGATTTTCTCTAGTTTTTTCAAATAGAAGTATGAGTTCAGTTTACTAACTCTTCGAATAGCATAGTATGCAGAGCAGCATCTTGGGTGACAGAAGCTTAAGAAGGATAGAGCTACTGACAGCTCTCTTAGTTAGCCTTACTTGTGTTTGGATGAAGAAAAACAATGGTTCTGTAAAAGGGAGCTAGTCAGCCTATGGGATGGTAATTGAAATTCCTGCCATCCAAAGTCATCGGGAGTCTTACTGCTGCAGAGATGTTCCCTCTCAGCAGTCCATGTCAGGAGAAAAAGAACAGGTGAAAACTTGAGGAGGGCTATATAGAAATAGTTATGATCTAGTTGTATGAGTCAGTTCACAGCTATATGGACATTTTTAAATAGAATAAATTCACTTTTACTGTCCAAAAGGATGGCCATATTTTTCTTCTTGTCCCTAGCTATACATTTCTATTTATCAGCACAAGTATTCATGCAGCTATGCAAATTGATCTCTATGACACATAAATCAAGAAAACAAACAAACAAACAAGCAGTTTTGCACCAGATTAGTGACATAATCTGTTTCTTTGGCCATCTGTTTGGAAAAATGTGCTTACTCTGTGCAGATATGGGAATCAGATGGCTTCTTTCAGCTGCAGGGCAGATTTATGGTGAGTTAGAGCGATAGAGTAGTCATGGAGTCAGCATTCTATTACCTCGTCAGTCACTCGGAGGTTGTAGAGATCCACTTTTATGAGTCTCATGTTAGCCAGACTCAGAGGACCTCACAGACACAAATTCTCTCTTTAATTTCTCAAAGAAGATACAAGAGTCGTCAGGCTCCTGGGGTTAGAGCCTGAAGAAAAATCAAACATCAAAATATGCAACAAAGTCAAGATTTCAAGTGTCAGCATATGTATTGAGATGAATATCATGGCTAGGCTTCGCGAACGAAGATTTAAGAAGGTTCAATCCACGTTTGTTACAAGCACGCTGGTGGCTTATGAGGCCAATACGAGATAGACATGTCCGATTGCAAAAGGCACAGCAGAAAGACTCCTTAGATGGTGTATTCTGCAAGACACGATTCTTTCTGCGTTGTCTTTTCTCCTCGAGAGTGATCCTGCATGCGTTCTCAAAGGAAGCAGCAGCTTTATAGATGGTGTGTCTCCAGGCCTCCCAATTTGAGGCCAGAGTAGACCAGTTACGATGATCAATATGGCCAAGGTTGAGATGTTGTTTTAGGGAGTCCTTGTATCTTTTCTTCAGGGCTCCTCTCTTGCAGCAGCCAGTGGCAAGTTTACCATAAAGCAAGATCTTAGGGAGGCGGTGGTCTTTCATCCTTGAGACGTGCCCTGCCCAACGCAACTGTGTTCTCAGTAACATGGCCTCAATGCTTGTGACTGCTGCTGGTTCTAGAACAGATGTGTTGGTCACATAATCTGACCAGTGGATATTTAGGATTGTTCTGAGGCAGCGTTGATGGAAGCGTTCTAGGAGACGCAGGTGGTGGCGGTAGATTTAGATCCATATAAGAGAGTAGACAACACAATGACTCTGTAAACACTGATCTTGGTACTTTTCTTCAAGTGTTTTTTACGCCATACTCTTTTATGGAGTTTTCCAAAAGCACTATATGCCTTTGCTAACCTGTTGTCTATAGAATAATGTTAAATAACATACCTAAATAACAAATGAATCTTGAATTATTTGAAAAGAAGGAGCGCCACCAAGGTTGCATAACTGCATGGGCCAGGATTTTCAGCAGATGTTTTTTTTTATTAAGAAAGCACTAGAGACTTGAAGACCTTTGAAAGTAATGAAAGTGCTAAGTTGCCTTCACTTTCATTTCATCTCTTTTCTGATGTGCAAGTCTTCTCTGAAGACTTAGGTGTTGTCTGTTTAGGTGTAATCTGTCTCCAGCATGAAAGGTCGTAAGTGAGAACTTGGGAATACAAAGCACAACACAGCAAAACGAGCAGTGTTATGAGGAAGTTGTTTCCTAGAAACTTCTTTATGAAATTGAAAAAGATATTCAAGTGTTTTTAACTATGCAAAAATGTAAAGGAAAACAAAAGCCCTGGAAAGTAAGTCATTACCTTGTTTAACACTGAAGGGGGCTGTAAAGGAGTTGGACAAATCAGGAAGCAGAATCTGATCATATAAGTACATAGTCATATACAGCTTGAAAAAAATGTCAATTTTGCAAAACTGAGCTACCTTAACTCTCTATGTAACTAGGGCTGTGAAGGAATAATTTCAATGCCCCTGAAGATCTCAGGTGCACAATCCCCTCTGAAAAACTCTGGACTTGCAAACTTCATTTGAAAACATTTTTTGACCGTTTCTTTTGCAATTCCCATATATAGGACAAAGAGAAAGGAACTTTCTGTAGAAGGCCTTAGGATTTATATTAGTGAAATTCAGTCACCTACAAAGATTCTCTTCTGTCTCTCAGACAAGAGCTATCCAGTCCAGCCCTTTTCTCACTCCTTTTAAGTTCCGTTCCTCCACTTATCTTCAGCCACTTGACTTCGCTTTAGTCCACTGCAATAATGAGAGGCTTCTTTGATAGAAAGCAACATAAAAAAGATCTCATTTCCTTTTCCTTGATTAATTTTGCATCCCACAGTACCTATTTGCCTTGATAGATCAGAAAATCGTTTCCCAAGAAATGAATGAATTTAAATAGCACTTATCCTAAGGAGACAGTAATTGTTGCAGTGTTTTTTAGGGTTACATTGTTTCCGAGCAGGTTGTGTGTCTGTTTTAGTGTTTGAACACCAGGTTTAAATCTGTAGAAAATGTGTGCCCTCATAAGATTGAAAAAAGAAAAAAAAATTTTTTTCTTTTGCCTGACTTTGGAAGGTTAATGCAGTTAAATATCCATCCTACTTTTATTCTAGATTGACACACACAGACATGTCCTAGTATACTCCCAATTTTATTTAGTAAAAGAAAGCAAGAATTCAAATAACCACTAGAGAAATTACAAATCAGAAGGACAGGAGGATTTTCTTGTTTTATCAAGAAGCAGAGTCTCATGCAGCAACCAAAAAAATTAAGAAGGAGTCAAGAGAATTACTTCAAGCAAAGGCATAGATAACAGGTGATAATAATTAATTGTTAGGAACGGAAGGCAGAATTAGGTTTTTAAAATTCCAAAGAACTGAGTCAGGTACTCAGGAGAGATTACAGTCTGAGAGGCAGAAATTAAATGAAAATACACAGAGTGGGGGAAAAAAAATGGAAGGAGAAATGAATATTGACCAATAGGAAAAGTTCGGATAACATCAACTCTTGCTTGCAGATCTTTACTGTGTTACTCATTGGACTACATATGTAGTATTTGTAAATGGGTCATATGTAGAGGACATGAGCGCAAAAAGTTATTGCCCTTTGCATACTTCTACAAGGGTCATGGATAATCTAAATTGTCTTGCAAACAGCTGGCTAAATTTGTGAAAACCATTTTTAAGCAAATACCCATAGCAAAACCATTCGTCTCTAGCAGTCAAACTGCATTTATTTTATATTATTTTATTTTTTAATTTTATTTTAAATTTTTAAAGAACATCTCCGATACCATTCAACATCTGAATAAGAGCATGAGCTTGCAGAAAGAAATGGCAGAGGTAGAATAGGTTCTTTTTCAAGAATAGTTGAGCAGTGTCAAGATTTCTAAGAAATGAATGGCAGAGAGTGGTTTGGAGCTGCAAAGAACTGGGAGCAGAAATGATAATTTTGACAGGCAAGTGGTCATACTGACATTGAAAACTGTTGCAGTCTCCCATTTTTAAGAAACATAATTAGGCAATAAGTAAATCAATTCACATGGCACAATGGTGAATGTGTGTTTCTTTATTAAATTGTTCTATTTCCCTCCAGTAACGTGTGCCAAATGATGTAATTGTTACCATGGGAACTATCCTTGTATAATAAGAAATTTAGAATAAAGCTCTGAGAGCTTCTAAACCCCACCTGGTGTGCACATATTATTTTTCTCCTTTAAAAAAAAAAAGTATAAATAAATAGTAAAAAAAAAGTAATACACTTCCACTTGTATCCTTAACTAACACATAATTCTTAAAATAGACCTGCTGATAGTGGTGTCACTGTTTCTGGAGTAGGTGTTACCTAGCGTGAGCTCCAGATACATGATCATTTTTTTAAAACAGAAATAAAAGGGAAAATGGTAAGGTAAAAGGGGAAACTGGAGAACTACTTTAGAAAAATGGATATTCTAATGGGCTGGTTTAGAGACAAAGGAATTTTCTAAAATATTAGAGTTTAAATACACTGCTTTTCTAATGAAAATAAAATTTTTATATTAGCATCAGAAAAGTGTATCCAATACCCCTCCTCCCTTTAGTCTATTAATCTTACAATCTTTCTTTCTAATGCTGGAAGAGAAGATAAAAACATTTGCTGCAAAAGCACTTGAAATACTGTTTTGGGAATCTGAATGTTTCACCAAGCCTAATATTTTGCAAATGTTGTAATTTTGTGGCAAAATAACACATTTTAATTTTTATCCAGGGGAAATGCTTAAACTATGGTCCTTTTACTTTCTGTTTTTATGCCAGCATACACATATATCGCATTTCTATAACTAGTATTGAGAACCAAAAGAAAAACAGTAGTCCCTGATGTTTCTTTTTCCTTCCTTGTGTTTATATAGCTAAGTGGAATCAGAGGTGATTAATTCATCTTTAAAAAATCTGACTTCACCAAATAGTCCATTAGATGGAAGGATTTAAAATAATTTTTTGAGAACTTTTATAGCACTGCTCACTATTTGAAATCTTCTGTGAATCAAAAATAAATGCCTTTTGACACAGTGCACAGTAGATTGCAATATAAAAGGATAGGCTGCAAGGTCTCCTTCAGGCAGCCTTAAGCCATCACTTAAAATTTTTCAATACTCTGATTTATTTTTGTTTAATATACGGAATACAAATTTTCAGTATAAACACAGTTCATGTGAAAAGAAATTTTTCTCAAGTTTCTAAAGTTCTGGAGACACTGATCTTTTGCAAAGTCTATGACTAACTTGTGAAAATAAATCTGATGTTTTAATTAGAATCCGCTGTACTCCCATAACATCTTTCATCGTAAGTACTTTACTGACATTTATTAATTAGTGGTCTGATGCTGCAAACCTTACTCATCTGCATATTTTTACTTGTGATCATTCAGACTTTTTGCATGACTAAGATTTACAGAGTCTATGCCTGTTCAGTAGTAAATGAATCTCAAAAATGTGTAACTAAGTGGGGCTTTGGGAAACTAATTGAATGTTGTCTTGATGGGGGCAGCCATGGGTAAATAAGGCTCAGATATGCTTTTTTTGTGCCAGAGCTCTGATGAACCAGGGTGGCTCCCAATGTTATGTTCAGAACTAGTTTTTAACAAAACATGAGGTCTCCCCAAGGAGGAAAGGGTATAAAGGAAAAAAGATAAAACAAGGAGACTATGAGAAAAAATAGTAGAAAAGAAGAAACACTATATATGTTACATAATCAAATTTATAGAAGTTCCCATGTTATGAGATTTCCCAAGTTCTCTGTCCTGGGATTTGACACCATCCAGGAAGGGGAAAAGACCTCACAGTGGTTGTGACTCCTGACACAGACCCCTCCAGTCAAGATTACTTTCCTTGACGGGGTCAACCAGCTTGGATGTCAGGGAACAGCGTGAGGAGATCTTGCAACTCAATAAGCCCTTAGAACATGAGAGTGTAAATAAAAAGGTGAGGGAAAAGAGCAGCTACCACCTTGATAACAAGGACAGGATCCTGGCATGCTTGGAGCCTTTTGCCTTACTTGCCTTCTTGTTGCAGAGGATAACAGTTACAGAATCACAGAATCACAGAATATGCTGAGTTGGAAGGGACCCCCAAGCATCATCGAGTCCAACTCTCAGCCCTGCACAGGACCATCCCCAAGAGTCACAGCATGTGCCTGAGGGTATCATCCAAACACTTCTTGAACACTGTCAGGCTTGGTGCTGTGACCACTTCCCTGGGGAGCCTGTTCCAGTGCCCAACCACTCCCAGGATGAAGAACCTTTTCCTAATATCCAACCTAAACCTCCCCCGATACAATTTCAGAGCATTGCCTTGGGTCCTGTCACTAGTCATTAAAGAGAAGAGATCAGTTGGGTAACCTAACAAAAAAAACATACTATGAACATACTCATGCTCACCACTTTGTTATACAGTTTCATTTAATGTGTGTCCAGTGGATCAAGGAATCTCATCTCAACATAAGGTGACCCACTGGGTTCCTATCCTTTCTTCATGTTGTAAAAGGTATTTTTACTCTGGACGAGGGCAGGACATCATCCTGATGACATCCTGGCGGGACTGGATGTTATGCAGCCTGTGCAGAGAAGTTAGATACAAAGGGAAGAGGCCTGAGAAGAAGTAATGGAGGGTAAGCATGATATATCCTCCTTCAGAACATGCATGATATAGGAGAGAATTCCTGTATTTAAAGTGCTCTTTACTTCCTTGAGCAATCTGTGGGGAAATGCAGCAATCAGACCACCCCATAGACTGTACAAGTAGCACAGAGCCAAACTCTTTGTGCCTGCCATGAACATCCTTGGTACACTGAGGAGAACTCTACCGCTTGCACAGAGGGTTAATGTGGCAGGCATTTGGCCAGAAGGTTTCTCCTTTTATCGGTGTGGAGTACCTAATCTCTGCCAAGTACTTCTAAACGATGAGGAGCTCCTGGCAGGAGACAAGCGGTTCAGTGAGATTCAGAGAAGACCTCTCAGGCTGATGGCCAAAAGCCGCTAAAGCCCTTGCTGCCGTAAGTGGTGCTTTGTTGTGTGGTTTGTGATTACTTATCAAGACCATGTTATGGCTTCTCTCAGCAACATCTCTCACTACATGTGCCAGAATCCTTCACATCTCAACTGCAGAAATAAGACTGTAAATTCAACTTTACAAGGTCCTTTGTTCTGCACTGGGACAGGAGTTCTAATTCTTAGGTTTGTGTCACAGCCTGTCTCCAGCTCTTTACCTTTCTCCTTCCCATGCCTGTACACCTGAGAAGCCTTGAGTCAGCTACGTGCTTCATGAAATATCAGCAACACCTTTGGATCTTGAGTTCAGAGAAGCAGAGTGAGTCCTTTAAAAAGTGGTTTGAATGTGTTTATGTGACATTTCTTACATATGTAAATGGTCTGCTTGATTTAACAGACCTACTCAGGAATAAAAATTGTTCATATTAGTAAAACTTTAAGCATCAATCGTTTATCAGTAAATGTTGCGCAAATGTTTGTTTTTTCAATAAGAAAGTATTATGAGCAAAGACCTGGGCTCATCTTCAGGAGTACAGAATTGGTACTTACTAAATTAGTTTGGATTGTTAGACAAAGCTTCCTCTAGGAACAGAGGGTTAGGAGGGAAAGGATGGCATCTACAGATATTTATTTAGGCCATTAAGGTCTAATTCTCTACCTGCAGAAGCTTCTCTGTCTCTCCTGACAGGAGGGAAGCTTCCAGTAATTAGGCACCTAACTTACACACTGCTGCAAAGTGGGCTGAAGCCAAGTCACTGTACAATCAATTCTATTCCATGTGTCCAGGCCAGCCACGGAAATTCAACTCTTGTAAAATCTGTTCTTACTGTAACTGCTACTGTAACCTCCCCTGCCTCTTCTGGGCCTCGTCATCTATATTACCCTGACCCAGCTCTGATGTAGCTCAGCAGCAGAACCTTGGTCCAGACTTCTGAGGAAATTGTTAAGTGGTTGTAATATCCTTCAGTATCCTATAATGTTCTAAATCCTTTTCTTCTATTTTCTAGCCCTAATTTCTACCTGTCATTCCAATTCACAGTAATTGTGGACATGGCTTTTCTTTCTCCTACTTTTGTTGAGATTAAAAATAAAATGTGGATTCAAAATGGTCAGTCACTTATTTTTCTTTATTATTATAAAGTAAAATCATAGTTCACTTCTCACAAAGGCAAATAGATTGTTTAAACACATTTAATGCAGTGCTTACTGAAAATATTTCAACAAGCTCTGTCATCGAATCAGCACATATTAATAAAGTTATTTAAGAATCTCTGTGTCATTCTTTTTTACCTGCCTTCTTCTATATTTGTTTAAGACTGTCCTCAGTGAGTTATAAGTAATAACTGAAATATGTCTGAGCTCACTAGTCTTTTTCTGCCTTAGGAGCTGTAAGAAAGATTTTCACATTATACTGGCCCATTACATTTTTGTTATTGTATTGAAAAATAAAGAATCCTCCTGATTTATCTTTTTAGTGAAAACCAGAAACTCACAATTTTTGTAGCAGAGAGAAAATGCACCCAAACAGTGAAATTTGTTAATAGCCCTGAGTTCTGTAAATTTCATATCTTTATGATCATAACTCATTAAATTCTCCTGTGTTAAAACCTCAGTTGGAAACATGACTTGCCTAAGGTCAGGTTAAGCTGGTTAAACAAGCAGTTCCTTCCTTCCTTCCTTCCTCCCTTCCTTCCTTCCTTCCTCTTCCTTAAAACCAATATGCAAATTATTGTAACTGCCCATCTTCCTCCAGAAAGCAAATATGTCTAGTCAATTCTGTTACTTTTTCATCATAGCACAAGTAGACTACAAAAATGGAGAAAATTCTAATCTCTCAAATGAAACTAAATAAAAAGACTTAAAAATTACTGTCCACTATGTCCATGTAAGAAATTCTTCCCTCTGCATGGCTTGCTAGTCGAGTGATTTCTAGAGAAAAAAAGTCTTTTTTCTGTCATCAGTCAGGCTTGGCTGTGGGTTTGATCCATGCCTCAGGAAATCCCTCCTACTGCTTACATCTTATGATTTCAGAAGGCTTTCCAAACCAGTGTCACTTTGGTGCTGCTGAAAGCTTTTCCTCTTCCTCTGTCTTGTCCTCTCATGCTCTGGCCTTATGGACTTGTCTAATGCTTTTTTGCAACAGGAATAATTTTCAGTCCATTCAGCAATCATTTCTGGCTCAGGTAACATCAGGTAGCTGCATTTAGTGCGTCCAGTCTCAACTCAGTTCAGCTTAACCACAGCTGAGGAGTCAGTGAGCCTGAAGTCATAGTGCAGGATCTTATGCTGGATGTATTTTTCTCTATTTGCCATGTACTGCATCCCAAAACCACCACTTTGGTGAGCAGACAGAAGTGCTCTAGAGGAAACAGCAAAGCAATCTTTCCTCCTTGGCATAAGATCCTGCCTTGCCCAGTATAAAGCATATGGTATCCACACAGCAAAGGGTGACCAAGCACCATATACCACTAGCAAATTTTATTAATATTTAAAGAGATATAAGATATGGTATTTTGGTAATATTTTATAAGAATCTAGTTAAATAAAATGTGAAATCAAATTTGGGACACTTTTCTTCCTTTCATTTTCTCCTCCTTTTACAGAAAGCATACAGAAGAATTTAGGCCTTTTTTTCACTGAAAACTTAATGTCAACAAGTGCCAACCAATTGGTTAGATTTTCATGAAAACAATTTTTCAGGGTAAATCAGTATTAGTTTCATTGTGTGTTATTTCTTGGTGGCCTTCCTGAGAGTTTGTTTTGGGTTTGGGGGGGAGTTGTTTGTTTGTTTGTTTGCTAAATAGAGTTTGAATAACTTTTACTAATTTCTTTTCAGTTGACTTCTGTACATTAGTCAAAGAATAAATCCTTACCTCAGTATATTTGAACCAATGTTCTACTGAAGGTTAGGAGTAATCAGAGATGTTGTTACATTTTTTCTCAAGCAGCATATAAATAACAGAAATCAAGAATGATTCTATGTGTTTTCTTCATCTATAGTCTCAACTACTTTCTTTTAATTTCTTTTAAGAAAGGTGAAAGCATTTTAAAATTAAAAACTTTCAATGGTTCAGAGATAGCTATAGTTTCCTGTATGGGATCTCAGAGATGAGTAGTATGAAATACTTACCCTGTCCAAAACATATGTGTTGGTCACCATGGCAGTGAATTAGACAGTTGGAGCTTGCAGAGAAAATTATTTCATTTTTGTAAACCCGAATCCTCTCTGCTTGTTGTTCCATAGAGAAATTCCAAACCATGACTTATTTTATCTTTCATTTTTGGATTTGCTTCCTGTCAGAATCATTGAAGATGTTTACGAACGGGTGTTTGATTCAAAAGGAGAAATAGAAGACTGAGATTAAAGAAGTAGAACTGGGATATAAGAATAAATAAAAAGAAGCTAGACTTCTTTTTAGTGAATGAGAAAAAGAAAAAAGACACAATTATCACTCTAAAAATTTCCATGATCACTGACAGATAAAGGAAAAGGAAGTAAGTGTCAGTACCTTGAGCCCAGAGGGACCAGGCACACTACTTCTGACAGTACATTTTTGAAATACATGTGTGATACACTGCATATTTGATGAGTCCTTCTCCCAGAGGAGGAAGCTCCGTGTATACCTTTAGCATAGAAGTTTGATATCCTGAATATATACTGAACGTGTCTGGTTCTACACAGTCACCTCCTACAAATCTGGAGCTCCTCTAAGATGAAGTAGATTAATACACTGTCAATGAAATCAACAGATTTCTCCCAACTTACATTGGTTGAGGTTCCAAGGTAGCTGTAGAGGAAAGAAATGACCCAGGTGTCCCAGAAAACAGAAAGAAAAATGAGAAAATGGAATTCACTTGAGGGTACATCAAAACCACACAGAATTAACTAAACTTGTTTTGTACCAGGTTCTTACAGAAAATGTTGAAGTGCTTTCTATAAATGTACATTCATTTATTTATGACTTGTAACCAGACACAATCAAATCACTTATAAACAAAATAGTAGAAAATGAGGAGGTGACAGCACTTTAGGATGAATTCTTATCATACACAGTGTTTGCATACTGTTTTCAGAAAGAGTCAACTGTTTCCAGAACTGCCACAGACTCTCAGATAAGCAATTAACACTCTGCTTTTATAATTTATTGTAAACAGTTCCTTCACCTCCTTTCCAAACACTGTCCCTATGCCCATCTGGATAGAATTGTTCACAACAAAAACTAATAAAATCTTTAACCCTCAAACCTATAATATATAATAAACCTTGAGCCTATAATTGGCTTTATAGCTTCGACTGAATTATATTGCCTTATCCTTTATACCAGTTGTCAGAGAACTATTTTATGATGTTGTGGTACAGCTGGTCAACTGAACATCTTACTAAGGGAAGAATTAAGTTGATGTCCACGTTATAATTTTTAGGATTTTTTTAGATATCGTATTGTAGGTATATCACTTGGCCTGCAGCTGGATCAACATGGCACAGGTCTTCCATTGCTCCTGTGCCATATCTGTTAACCTTATTCTGAAATTTCTTTTACCCTAAGGAGTGTGAAATGGCACCGGCTGCCTACAGGTTGGCAACTGCATTGAGTCCCATATCTCCATCAATTATAGTCAGAACATAGACACTCAGCTCACATACAGACAGCTGTATTGAAGACAAAAATAATTTGTTGATTTGCATCTCGAGTTGATGCCCAAACACAAATTAAGCACGGCACTAAAAGAAATTTAAAGAATATAGTACAAATATTTGGAAAGAATAGCATAGAAGGGCCTTCTCATAGAGCAATTTGGGCCAAACCCAGATGCCTGCTAGTTTAAAGTAAGTTTAATGACTTGTGATGATCTGAACCTGTAGCTGGGAGTGACTAATAACTCTAATAATGTAATTAAGAACAGAAAAGGTGTGTCCAGGAGAGTCACAAAATGAGACTCAGTTAATGGCCAGAGCAATGATAACAGGGGTCTCTATAAACCTTAAAAAAGGTGGAATCAGAACACCCAATTTTAGGCATTGAGTAGACCTCTGTGCCTGAGCTAGAAACTAAGCTTCTTTTATATACAACAGAGAGAAATACAAAGATATAGGGCAAAGTTCTTCTTTCCTAGTTTATTAGTCTACATTAGGTTGAAATAAATTTCTTCCTAACAGTCTCTATTTCTCTTCACTGGCAATAAAAAGAACCTAGACAAACTAGTTTAAATTCAGGTATCTACATTTGATCAGAGGACTCCCACCTGGGTGTCTGTAGATAATAGTGTGTCTTAGATCAGAGAGAAGCTCTGCACCATCTGCTCCAGACAGG